GCGCCTGCGCGCCCCGCACCGCTGCATCGCGCGCCGGTGACGTCTGTTGCGTGCGCCGCAAGGTGGGGGAGGGTCCTGCGCACGTGTTGCTACGGTGACGGCGCTCTCCTGGCTGCGGAATGAAGCGGCCCAACATCCTGCTGACAGGTGGGCGGCGGGGAGCGGGGGCTGGGGCGTCAGTCTGGCCGCAGCACTCGCCCGCAGGAGCCGCCTGGCATTCGCTCTTCGGGTTTTGGCGGCTGCAGAGCAGCGGCCGGCGCTGAGTGACTCGCAGCAGACTCCCCCTGGGGCTTCCTGGGAGCTGCCTCGTATGGAGCGGACTTCCCCTGCTCTTTTGAAGTCACGGGAGCATCATTGTCTCTGGTTCATTAGCAAGTTTCCTGTGACACCTGCACATAGTATAGTAATGTATTGCTGCATCCATATTGGTTAAAGTATTCTTATGACTTCATGCTTTGCGATGCATCTCCTAGGTACACCTGGCGTGGGGAAAACTACACTGGGCAAGGAGCTTGCTGCAAGAGCAGGGCTGACATACATCAATGTGGGGGACCTGGCAAAAGAAGGTGGGTTGTATTTATGATGGTATGACCCAGTAGAGCACTTATTAGCTACGTATAAAATGCGGTGGATATCTAGATATCGACTGAATGTGTGTGAATTCTTCAAAGAGAACTACTTGCTTGGATTGGTTAAGGAGAGCTCATGTATAGTGACTTCGGTTGTGATAAACACCAGCTTTGTGTTCATGTCGATGTTAATACAAAAATAACCCAGGTTTTCCTTGCTTAGACAGATAGGTACTTATTCTTGTTAATACATCTGTGCATCATTTTGAGTGTGTTAACAAGAGCAGTTCAGACCAATGCCCACTATTTTTTTCCTTCTGAGTTTCCCCCTCAAACAATCTCTTGTTTCTCCTTTCCCTCTTCCCCAGATGTTACTTAATGAGGGTTTTTTCTATAGGTTTTTATGGCAGTCCATGCTCATCCTCCTTCATCAGCCTGAGAAGGAGGCAGAGTTGGCTGTTGTTATTTTGTTTACTTATTTCATACAAGGGATATAAGAAAAACTGAGGTAGAACAATAAAGCACTAGAGTCAGAAAATGCTATGATCAAGATTTGATGTGTACTTTCTCCTCTATTCCTTTACAAATGTGCTTTATGTTAATGATATGAAAAATGCTAGTTCACATAATACAAGCATTTTCAATGCCCTTAAGACCCTGTTGTAAATTTCCCATTCATTTGAGCATTCCTGGTGGTCACAGTCATGTCATGACATTGATATGATGTATGCATAAGACAGAACCTGACAGATTTAGATGACTGATCAGAGCCTGTCTAATCAAAAGGACTACTTAAAGAAGTGAGGATTGTTACTTAAGGCCTTAAGAAAACCAGGAGACAAACACATGGAGGATGTTGCCCACATCTTTCTAAAGGTGTAGGGTGAGCAGTTGGTCTTACTACCTTGGTGACCCTTAGCCAAGTTCACTTTCTTGCTTTGCCCACCCATATAACTGCAATGTAGAGACATATTTTATTACTAAATGGCTTGTAGTACGAAAAGTTCTTTTATGTTCAAGACAATGCTGTTCTTGATGTTTATGCTTTTTTGGGGGAAAGAATAGTGACTTTTATGGGGTCTAAAATATTTGCATTTTATTTGTCAACGTATGAATGTTATAAATATATTTCTAAATTACTTTTTTTTTCCTTTAGGGGAATTATATGAAGGTTTTGATGAGGAATATGAATGTCCAATTTTGGATGAAGACCGGGTAAGTTCGACTTCAAACTTGTCCAACTTATGTTTGTCACTCGTGTAATTCCAGATAAGGTGTAGCTAGCTTTTACAGGCCTTTGTTTCTTTGGTAGGTAATTGACGAGCTGGAAGACAAAATGAGCGAAGGTGGAATTATTGTTGATTATCATGGCTGTGACTTCTTCCCAGAACGGTGGTTTCATATAGTATTTGTACTTCGTACTGAAAATTCATTTCTATATGACAGGCTTGAAAGCAGGTAGGTCAGTACAATAAAGGAAAGACACTGTTAGTATGAAGAGATGCTCATTTCTGGCAATGGAAATTTTTGAGCAAATAATTTATTTCCTATTTCTGAGAAATTTCTACTGCTATAAATCCTTTCAGAAGAAGAACCAGTACAGACATTCAGCCTACAGCTATCCCCTCCACTGCTCCCTGGTCCTTCCCCAGAGCAGGGCAAATACCAGGTGTTCATTCTTGTGGAAGAGTCTCTCTCGCAGGGGAGATCTTCCAGGTATCAGCCTGGAAGATCTTTCTGCTGGTGGGGACATATTTTCTCAGGGAGAAATTTGAGTGCTTGCACACTCCAAATTTCTGCTGGAAGAGTGGTGATTCTCTTAGTAGAAATATAGGACCTGTATGCAACCAGTATTGTCAGGCAGCTTCGCAAAAGCCACTTGGGGATACAGAATTTTAGTATTGTATAAAATGATTATATTGACTCCTCTTTTTATTTGTATATCTAAACAATTGTGGCTTTGGGTTTTTTTTCCAGAGGGTACAAAGGGAAAAAACTACAAGACAACATTCAGTGTGAAATTTTTCAGACAATTTATGAAGAAGCCATGTTATCTTACAAAGAAGAGATTGTACACCAGTTGCCCAGCAATACTCCAGAGGACCTAGAGCGGAATTTAGATCAAATTACACAGTGGATCGAGCAGTGGATGAAAGACAACAACTAAAACTTGAGAAGAAAATAACTTAAGATATTTCCTGGATCTTCTGCCCATTCAATAAAAGACATTCATAATTCTTGCTTAGTAAATTAACTTTTCAATTTATATTTTAGTCAACATAAGCTGGAAATTAGAAGAAAACATCTACCCATCATACCAGTGAGACTGTCAAAGAGCTTCCCAGGAGGAATACTGGGAGCAAAAAAAAAAAAAAAAAAATT